CGTGGGCCATCGATTTCAGCCTCAGACCCAGAGCTTACGCCAAGCTCCTCGTCGCCGGCATCGAAGCGCCGTTTGACGGAGAGAAACCCGTCGTCTTCATCCGCATCAGCGGTGGGGTTGTCCTTCTCCTCCCCATCGACATCGTCCTCAGTTCTAATCAATTTGGTGTAATGTTCCGTTAGCACGTCCTGATTTCTTCGCTCGAACATGCGATCATATTTCGTCCGTACAGCGGTTTCTTTTTTCTTTGATTTTTTATCTCCCTCCTGATCTGTATCCTCGTCGCTACTCGACATCGTGGCAAGATGCCGAGGCGCATTCTTTCGTAATTTTGTATCTTCTCCCTTGATGAACTTGATGCGCGGGGCTCCAGGGAGTCCGAGACTTGATGCAAAGTCTTCAAGGGGCAAACTTTTAACATTAAACACTTCCTTATCCTTTTGTATGTGTATCGATTTGGCGTAAGATGTGAATGCTTTCTGCCCTAAATATTTTAACGCAGGGTCTTTAAAGCACATATTCTGCAGCTGACTCTTGATACTCTGCTGCTTTTTCGCTTTGATATTGATCCGCTCGATAGGTATCTTCTTCTGTTCAAGGCGCTTCAACATGCCTTCCTCTTCATTCGGCTCCAAGAACAACACTGCGCGCCCGTCCCGTTCATATCTCGCAGTTCGGCCGACTCGATGGATATAAGTGTCCGCATCCTCAGGGCAATCTAGTTGAATAACCCAGTCAACTGCGGGAAAATCGAGGCCTCTCGCCGCGATATCTGTCGAAAATAAACAAGAGTACTTCGACCTCGAAAATTTATTCGTGATGTCGATCCTTGCAGCTTGTTTTTGCCTTCCATGAAGGTGCAATAGCGGTATACCAGGTTGCATCTGCCGAAAAGCCTCATAGACGAATCGCACTTGTTTGCTCGAGGAAAAGAACACCAGTATCTTGGACTTTAGCGTACTCCGGATAAAACTCCATAACGTATCCAGCTTCTCCGGTAACGGCGTAACCACGTAGTGTTGCTGCAGGCTCGCAGGTGTTGCACTGCTCGCTGTGTCATGAACAGATATATACTCTGGATCTCTTAAGCTCAACCGCGCCAGATCAGATACTTTCTTCGTCTGGGTGGCACTAAACAACATTGTCTGTCGCTCTTTGGGTAGATGTTCGACAATTGCATCCACTGTGCTTTGAAATCCCATGTCCATAATCCGATCTGCCTCATCGAGAACGAGCATTTGGATATGATCTGTAACGAACGCCGCCGTTTGGTCCATATGCTGTAGCATACGTCCTGGCGTACAGACCAGAATATTCATCCTGCCTAGGCGCTCTTGTTCTTCTTGTAAACTTCTTCCCGCCGATCACTAAACCAGCCGAAAAAGTATGATACCGACCGATTTGCGGAGGACTTCGAATATCTGAATAGCTAGTTCACGAGTTGGCGAGAGGATAAGTGG